CTGGCAAGGCGGTGGAGACAGAAGTGGAAATGAAATCTGGCGTGCGGCTGAGCTTGGAGCTGATGGCTGAGTGTGTGCGCCATCATCCAGCAGGTGCCAAGGAGGAAGAGGACTTAGAGGAGGAGATGGTGTTCCTGGACTTCCACACAGYCTTCAAAGGAAGCTTGTTTGAGGATTATCACATCCTCCCACTTCAAGTGGCATGTGTGGACAACAGTTTTCTGCCCTTCTTTAAAAAGGCGCCGAAWTTGTTCGACTCCTTCCTCTCAGACCCTGGGACCATCATGTCTCTGAAGACGTCCCTGAATCCGGGAAAGGATCTTGCTCCTATGTTCGCTGAGTACTGCAACTGCAAGGATGAACAAGAATCCCATGCAGCAGAATACTTTGCCAAGGCCTGTATACCTGAGAAGGAATACCATGGTGGCGGTGATGATGGCAGTGATGATGGCGGAGATGATGGCAGTGATGATGGCGGTGATGATGGCGGTGATGATGGCGGTGATGATGGCGGTGACGATGCTGCTGATGATTGTGGTGACGACTATGATGAGCCTGTTTTCACTCAGAACATGGACATGGAACTGAACAGTGCTGATGCTGGCGTCAATGCACATCCTGCTGTCAAAAATGATAACAGGGCATCAGCGGTTTCTGAAGTCGTCACACAGTCTTACCTTGAGGTGAGGGATGGTGATGATGATGATGATGGTGATGGTGATGGTCATGCTGGTGATTACAGAAATGCAGTTGCCATCTGTGGTCCTGACAAGGGCAAATCCGTCTCGACGAAACTCACTGAGAGCTGTGTCCATGACATCAACAAAAATGATGAGGATGATGGCCATGGAGATGAGAGTAAAGGGGATGGTCTTGGTCAGGCTAATGACCTCAAGGAGGAGTTAGCAAATACTAGTGCTCTACACAATTATGGCAGAGCCCTTGTGACTGAAGTGTCTCAGTTCGATGTAGGCGATGACGGCAATCGTTGCAAGAATGATCATGGTGATGGCGATGGTGGTGGTGTCAATGACGTGACACTTGTTGCTGAAATGCGTCGGTCGAACCTCGATGATGGCATCCGTGGTGATGGGGGTCTTTGTGAGCGTTATGTTGACTGTGCAGATCAAGTCGCCAATGATCACCACGATGAGGACAGAGTTCTATTGACTACCCTTGCACACTTGGACGGCAATACCGGCACCAATAATCAGCACCAGCAGCACCAGCCCCAACAGCAGCAGCAGGAGGAG